AAACAAATCTAAGCGACGAAATACCTCTTAAGAATGGGGAGGAATCTAGGGTTCGAACGGTGCAAAACCCTAAGAATTTCAGCTTCGGGAAGTCGCGAATCAAAACTGAGAGAGAAACTTCTTCGTTGTTGTTAGTTGGTTTGTAATTGTTCGTGAGAGAAAGAGAACAAGCTTGTACGAGTCGTTCACGTTTTCAAGTTAAGAGGAGCGTGGAGGGAGAATCACGCGCAGGTACTACGCGTTTGGTAAATTGGATTAATGCAAAAGCAGGGTTGGTTCTGCATAACAAGAAAAAGAGCATGTAGCAATGTCTGGCTCTCTGGTTGGTGCGTGAAAAACACGAGAAATAAAACTGCGGGTGGTGGTGATACTAAATCAGTATTTTATCTGGTTTATGTTTTGTGTCACTGCATGGGAATATGCATCTGATGATCTGATCTCAACCGTCGGATCCGAGCAATTGATTTTGATGGGGAATATAGTTTTGTTTGTGACTGTTGACTACAAGATTAATTGATTAATAGGTTAATGATATGGGTTAATTAAAATAATTAAGAAATTAATTGAGGTTTAAGGTGGTGGGATTCGTGGAATACGTGTCAGTAGAATCTTCAAAGTAATGAAGGAATCAGTCAAGCAAGTTGCCATGTCAAAAATGAGGTTGGTACTTTTTATGATTCATTGCACTTTTTCTTGAACTGTTTCTCCACACCAATTTATATTTTGTGTGTACTCTAATTCTCCATGTAGTTTATTGGTTGGTTAATGTGAAATTGACTATATCAAAGATTCATGAAATTCATGGGCTAGTGTGGAATCGTTGGTTTTGTTGACCAACATTCTTAAACAACATGTGACAGTTTAGATAATAGACAACCAATGGAAAGATACTAAGCTCTCAATCACATTAACTAAAAATTAGCATAATTATGATGTACCTCGCTAAATCAGGCAACTACTTCAAGAAAAGAGAACTCACTTAGTAAGAAGACAGGAAAATGAAACAGTGAAACCAGTTAAAGTCAGTGCTATAATTGTATCCTTAAGTCAAGGGGTGCAATAATTACTTACCCAAGTATCCCCGAAACTTTACCACAAGCAGCACAACAATAACTGCCATCTAGCTGCATTAATTGCCCAAGATCAACAACCCCAACCTTTTCACGTTGAAGGGCACACTCAATGTGACAAGATAGTCCACAGGGTCTCTTGACCAGAGTCAGATGTACAAACCAACCAGAGGCTAGGGTCCTTATTGTCATCAAATAAGTGACAGATACAACAAGAACACTCTTGCCAAATGTGTCATCAATGGACGAACAGCTCTACAAGCAGAATTTTTACAGATCCATGTGTTTGAACATCCAAAATCTGGAGACTGCTCAGGAGGAGGAGGGAGTCGTATGGGGTTCCCCCTTTTCTCTGTGCTCTAGAAGGCTGATGGTGGGACTTGAAGAAACTTTTTAGAGTCATGCTTCTTAATTGACGTGTATTGTCTTCGGAAGTTCAGCCATTTTGCTTTTTGATGAAGCTGAGTTTTTCTTGTCCTTATCAAAGCAACTTCGAAGAAGTTCCTTCTTTGGTCCACATTTCAGAAACTCCTGGAGGAGTTCTGGACTTCTTGAAGCACATCTGAATGCCCAATTTTCTAGGGGTGCTCTGCACGCTGGAGAAAGGCTTTGAACACACAGAAACTGTACAGGAAAGAAAACCAAATTAGGTCAGAAATTCTTGGGTAGAAACAGGTATTTAAAGGAAGCTTGAACTAAACAAAGCTCAATTCCAATGTTTAAAGCCAACACATACAAGTTGGTGAAAGAGAAAACAACTGTATAAAGTATTTGGCATCAATCATTAAAAAAGCTACTGCTATCCAGCATCATTGTCAAAAGTCTACATCAGAAGGCACTTCTAAGTTATCTTCCTCATTCTTCACTAAAATACCATAGTTACTTCATCTTCATTACAGCTATTTTTCAAGAAATCATATCCATTTTGAACATTTGGTTCCACCACAAGTTTCCACAAACTTTGACTTATAGGAATTTCTGAAATATAACTAGAGTTTTTAAGATATGAAGTAGTATCCCACAAATCAATCCAGACCTAGTGGTAGATCTATAGGAAACATCCACATTAGTTTCCTGTAGTCATATAGACTTGAGCAAGAAAGCAAGGGAAGTGAAAGCTTACAGGGTCTCAAATCTGCAACAGGACAATAACATAGGTAGAAAGCATCATTGATGAATAAAAAACCAATATTATAGGGAGATTCTCAAATGAAGAAAAGGTGAGTGCTTTTATGTTGTACCAGGGAGAGAGGAATAGAGAGATAGAGAAGAGAGCTTATCATCATTTATGTTTAAATCAGCAGAGACAGGTAAGCTATACATTTTGCCCTAATACCTGTGAGACATCTTGTCCCTAAACACGTTACATATCTAAGAAACCCCAATAATCTACAGTATTTACTTCATAACATGTCTCTTGGCCCAGTGGAGATGCTAGGATACCCAGGACAAATCAAACACAAGCTTGCCCAGTTGTGCAAAGCAGCTGGAAATTCCAAAGAATGCAATATGGTAAAGTCACTGCAATTACAAGAGGGCAAGTTTACCTCACCCTTCCCCAGCTATTGGCTTCTTAAGTTACATATCTAGACAGAAAAAGGAAAGAGGAAACACAAAGTAGAAAGGAAGAAACAGCAATATTTTAATGAGGAACAAAAAGCTTATACCAGGGATGTAAATGATGCGCGACGAGATATTAACTTAAACAGGATATGTTGAATGCTCAACAACTGAAATCATAAACAAATGGATCAATGGGGGAAACTTGTTCCTATGGTCAGCACAACTTCTGTTAAGCCCATAAGCAAATTCCTTACTTAATATTCAAAGAGTATAATATTTCTAAACAGGTCAAGCATAATTAGTTAATTTTACTCAGTCATTCAACATAGTCAAATAAGTAACCAGAGAAGAATGTTCAAGCCAATAGGTACCCAATCAATAACATAACAAGTAGTATGGACTAAGTCAGAACTTAACACAGAAAAAAAACAATGGATATTATCATGTCCGCTAAACTACCACCAAATCAAAATAAGTTGATTATCTAAGCAAATTAACATCATACAGAAAAAAATATTCTTGAAAAATCGTATGAACTAACTCAAAACTTAGAAGAAGCCTAGCACATAAACAGCATCTAATGAAAGCAGCAGTTATACACTGAGATTCTACATGATGAACAGAGAATAGATGGATTGAAACAAGGAAGATCTAACAGATCCTTCCTAAAAAAGAAATACTAAGAAAAAGAAAATGACCAAAAGGTTGACACTGCCGTAACATCTGTCACACGTAGTTGAGAATCTTGCCAGCGCGCTGGGTAAGAAATCAAGGTTTTTAGGGTTTAATACCTTTAATGAAAATATAATCAGACCAGATGTTGACTGTATTGACAGATTATAATCAGATTTTGATTACCAGGTCATAGATAGAAAAGTTGTATTGAAAAACTAGTAGCTGGTTGTAAGATCCATTTGGCCATTAGCCACGAAGTAATATAGAAAAAACTGGCCTTTTGGCAGCCTACCATAAAATGCAATGACGTCACACGACGAATATGACATGCCTTCGGTTTAATACAATTAATATTAAACATCAAATTTGACAAATGGTGAGGTACATGTATTTTAGAGCTGAAGACATTCCTTTAGCATATAAACTGCTTCAAAATACATGCATGACAAATCCACTTAGAACGCCTGTTTAGGGAACCATCCATTTTTCACTTGGTAGTCATTAAATGGTTTTATACTCAATTTAATTAAATATTTTAATCATATATCCTCAAAATCTCCTTGGAGAATTAGTGTTCCAATTTGATGTAACATTTTCCAATTCTTCCTGAAATTTGAAAATACTTTCCTGAAACGTAGAAACTTTTATTGCTTATTTCTTTGTTAAAATTACAATAAATATGACTGAAAGCTCAAGATTAATTTATTATTTCTAAAAGGAAAAAATTCTTGTTCTTACTATTAAGAAAAAAAGAACATCTCAAAGGAAAATCAAATAAATTTGTGGAACTACAGAAAGCAATTATAAAAAATTAAAAAATTGGAGAGGAGGAAACAGTTTAATGAATTGCAGTAATCTGGTATTGCTCCAAAGACCGTATCTATCAGATTATTTTCAAATTTCTTTAATTATCGGGAGGGAGAGCCTCATTGTTGTATTGTCATTATACCTAGCATATAAGAAGTCTGCTAGGAACAAAATTACTATAAAGCAATGCCTTAAGTTTTAGACATTTATTGAATAAAATAATCCTATGACAAATCTACATCATTGAAAAAAAACCGAAGGTTCCCCTATTGTTTTCACGTTTGTATGGATATTTAAGAAAATTTGCAATCTTTATATCGGATATTAATAATGCATGAGAAATTCACAATTAGGCATTTACCTTCCTTCAATTAGGTTTTCCAATCATCTTTTAGCAAACTTTAATCCATCCAAACATGAAGACAACAGAATTGCTCAAAGAGTTGCCCTGGCGGGAAGTGAGAGCCCCGCACCGTAATGACTAAAACGAAAAGAGAGACAGAATATTTGATGAAATTATGTCATTTGCATGAATAAGATAAATCTTTTTGGACTGATGAATTAGTGAAATGTTGACAGGGCATAAACAGATGAACCTCTTGTTCACCAAAGTATATGCAAGTAATAAGCAACTTGAAAAGGGAAATGCTAAACAGAATGCAACAAAGTAAATATCTGTGACCAATTCATGCACCCCTTCTGAAGGCGACTAAAAAAAGTATCCATACAAATATTTCTCCTTCATGAATATTCCACTGCTCCAAATGTATTTCCGACAATTTAGGAAATTAATGAATTCCAGGATGTAATTCTTAACTTCAAAAGGCGTCCCCTGTCTCTGCAATCAGCAACCCAAATCTTTTGGCTGGACAAACTTGTCCATAATACAAATGAATCACTTCTGACAGTGATTATGAAAAAATGCCTGTACAAACAACAGTGAAACAATCAGAGGTAATTTTTTTCTTTGCAAGGAAAGAATAATCATGTAGTAGAAAGCAATCCTGCGTCTTAGAATGCCCTCTCCTAATCTAATGCCACAGCTTACTACAGAACCCATTCCGAGGCCTCTTGCTCGATACAATATCTGAAAAAGAGTCAACCAACTGTCCTGCTAAGCTACTTGGATCATCAATCAGAGTTTGAATAAAAGTGTTAACCACCCTACGTTCTTGCTCTGTTGATCTTAAACTAAACCATGTTAGTAATTTCAACCTAAAATCTTGGTTAATATGACCTTCACATTCTAGCCATCGAATTATCTTGACACAGTACTCGAAGTTCTCATCTAAGCAACCCGAACCATCGGAAATGCGGAATGGAGACCCATTAATCAGAGTGCTATTGCAGTCATGTGGCTCTTCATTTGAGGGTGCCGATCTTTTCCTGCACAACTCTGTCTGGGAATCAACAGCAGGCACTTCTCCAGCTGGCCCATGGGTCCAGGTCTGGGAGTCACCACTGCCATGAGATCTTGCTAATCGGTTTTTCTCTATGTCATGAGAAGCAGCATCATCATCTGCTTCAACAGCTTGCTCAAAAGTGCATCCATTATCTTCATCTCTTGAGGACTCAAATGGAGGTGTTAGTTCTTCATTCAAATCAGGGACTGAGACAACATTTAAGTCAAGCCCACGTGAAATAGATGGCAACAGATCTTCTTCAGGAGTTTCAGGCTTGACCGCATTGTTTGCTCCACAGCACTTTTCTATGTCAGCACTGCAAAACCCTTCGAGGCATCCTTGTTCTTGAGCCCAGGCCAGACGCAAGATCTTTCCAAGGTCTTGAACCTTGAAGCCAGAACTTACTCCCATTGTCATTTTGGATTCTCTCTCAGCATTAGAACAACTTCCTTCAACAAGGGTATTTGCCTTCTTATGATTCACAGCTATTGTTGAATTAGGGTTCTTGTGAATTATCTCCACACTCTTGGTGAAACACTTAGCCTCTGAATGACCCATGTCACCAGCATCTGTATAGGAAACAATCCGAAAACTGTATTCTGTGCAGGGCTGCAGATTGGAAATTAAAATCCTTCTCTGAGCCCTTGGAAAAACACAAATAGGCTCTTTTGTGTGCACCTCTTCTCTACTCTTGCAATACCAGAGTTTGTAGCCTTTAATATCATCAGATGATACGGTTGACAGTTCAATCAAAATAATAACAACAGAGGAAGATGTCACTTCTTCAAAGAAAAACCTGCAAGCAGCAGGAAGTGAATCCTCTGCGAGGGGAACAAGGAAATTTTATTATTCCTTTGCTAAAATTGTATATATTTTGTTCACAAAAATTGTATGAAAAGAAAAGGGCTACAATGGGTTGTACCTCTGCAATTTGAATTGACATTAGAAATAGATGCCAGCCATTCATCTGCTTTCTCAATAGCAAGACAACAAAGTTTCTGCACATCTCCAGCTACAGAGAGTCTGCTGACAATGCCACGTGCCATCTTCGCAGAAATTCCATTCACTGAACCCACCTCTGTTTCTAGCTTGGACTTTGCGTCTTTTATAATATTATGCAGTTCTTTGAACCTTGAAGTCCCATCCAGGAGCCTATAGCTTAAATAAATCCTATAACATAGTACATCAAGTCGTCGAGCATCCTTAGCTACAATTAGCTGCTTCTTCCAACATCTGCCATATCAATAAATCACACCACAAAACTCACATCAGTTCAAGGTTCGAAAAACCTATTTCAGGAACACAAGTAAACCACAGTTTCCTCTCTTTCCTAATTTCTTAATATTTTTTTTGGTTCCATCTCTGGGCAGGATCAGCAAGAGTCATCCATTTTCACCAGCATTTAGTTACAGAGACTGTTAAATTTTTAAAAAGGCCATGAAGGTAACGCAAATGCGTTTATCAAGCTAAAAACCAGAGAAGACCTTTTCCTTCACATGGTAAATCTTTCAATAAAATAACAGTGACATGTTTAGATAATAGACAACCAATGGAAAGATACTAAGCTCTCAATCACATTAACTAAAAATTAGCATAATTTATGATGTACCTCGCTAAATCAGGCAACTACTTCAAGAAAAGAGAACTCACTTAGTAAGAAGACAGGAAAATGAAACAGTGAAACCAGTTAAAGTCAGTGCTATAATTGTATCCTTAAGTCAAGGGGTGCAATAATTACTTACCCAAGTATCCCCGAAACTTTACCACAAGCAGCACAACAATAACTGCCATCTAGCTGCATTAATTGCCCAAGATCAACAACCCCAACCTTTTCACGTTGAAGGGCACACTCAATGTGACAAGATAGTCCACAGGAGTCCTCTTGACCAGAGTCAGATGTACAAACCAACCAGAGGCTAGGGTCTTTATTGTCATCAAATAGGTGACAGATACAACAAGAACACCTCTTGCAAAATGTGTCATCAATGGATCGAACAGCTCTACAAGCAGAATTTTTACAGATCCATGTGTTTGAACATCCAAAATCTGGAGACTGCTCAGGAGGAGGAGGGAGTCGTATGGGGTTCTCCCCTTTTCTCTGTTGCTTCCTAGAAGGCTGATTGGTGGGACTTGAAGAAACTTTTTTAGAGTCATGCTTCTTAATTGTCTTGTTATTTGTCTTCAGAAGTTCAGCCATTTTGCTTTTTGATGAAGCTGAGTTTTTCTTGTCCTTATCAAAGCAACTTCGAAGAAGTTCCTTCTTTGGTCCACATTTCAGAAACTCCTGGAGGAGTTCTGGACTTCTTGAAGCATCATCTGAATGCCCAATTTTCTCAGGGGTGCTCTGCACGCTGGAAGAAAGGCTTTGAACACCAGAAACTGTACAGGAAAGAAAACCAAATTAGGTCAGAAATTCTTGGGTAGAAACAGGTATTTAAAGGAAGCTTGAACTAAACAAAGCTCAATTCCAATGTTTAAAGCCAACACATACAAGTTGGTGAAAGAGAAAACAACTGTAATAAAGTATTTCTGGCATCAATCATTAAAAAAGCTACTGCTATCCAGCATCATTGTCAAAAGTCTACATCAGAAAGGCATTTTCTAAGCTTATCTTCCTCATTCTTTCACTCAAAACACCATAGTTACTTCATCTTCATTACAGCTATTTTTCAAGAAATCATATCCATTTTGCAACATTTGGTTCCACCACAAGTTTTCCACATAACTTTTGACTTATAGGAATTTCTGAAATATAACTAGAGTTTTTAATGATATGAAGTAGTATCCCACAAATCAATCCAGCAACCTAGTGGTAGATCTATAGGAAACATCCACATTAGTTTCCTGTAGTCATATAGACTTGAGCAAGAAAGCAAGGGAAGTGAAAGCATTACAGGGTCTCAAATCTGCAACAGGACAATAACATAGGTAGAAAGCAATCATTGATGAATAAAAAACCCAATATTATAGGGAAGATTCCTCAAATGAAGAAAAGGTGAGTGCTTTTATGTTCCTGTGTACCAGGGAGAGAGAGAATAGAGAGATTAGCGAAGAGAGCTTCTACATCATTTATGTTTAAATCAGCAGAGACAGGTACAGCCTAATACATTTTGCCCTAATACCTGTGAGACATCTTGTCCATAACACAAGTTACATATCTAAGAAACCCCAATAATCTACAGTATTTACTTCATCAACATGTCTTTGGCCCAGTGGAGATGCTAGAGATACCCAGGACAAAATCACAACACAAGCTTGCCCAGTTGTGCAAAGCAGCTCTGGAAATTCCAAAGTAATGCAATATGGTAAAGTCACTGCAATTACAAGATAGGGCAAGTTTACCTCACCCTTCCCCCAGCTATTGGCTTCTTAAGTTACATATCTAGACAGAAAAAGGAAAGAGGAACACAAAAGTAGAAAGGAAGAAACAGCAATATTTTAATGAGGAACAAAAAGCTTATACCAAGGGATGTAAATGATGCGCGACGAAGATATTAGACTTAAACAGGATATGTTGAATGCTCAACAACTGAAATCATAAACAAAACTGGATCAATGGGGGAAACTTGTTCCTATGGTCAGCACAACTTCTGTTAAGCCCATAAGCAAATTCCTAACTTAATTATTCAAAGAGTATATATATTCTAAACAGGATCAAGCATAATTAGTTAATTTTACTCAGTCATTCAACATAGTCAAATAAGTAACCAGAGAAGAATGTTCAAGCCAATAGGTACCCAATCAATAACATAACAAGTAGTATGGACTAAGTCAGAACTTAAAACAGAAAAAATCAATCGGACTATTATCATGTCCGCTAAACTACCACCAAATCAAAATAAGTTGATTATCTAAGCAAATTAACATCATACAAGAAACAAATATTCTTGAAACTCATCGTATGAACTAACTCAAAACTTAGAAGAAGCCTAGCACATAAACAGCATCTAATGAAAGCAGCAGTTATACACTGAGATTCTACATGATGAACAGAGAATAGATGGATTGAAACAAGGAAGATACTAACAGATCCTTCCTAACAAAGAAATACTAAGAAAAAGAAAATGACCAAAAGGTTGACACTGCCGTAACATCTGTCACACTGTAGTTGAGAATCTTGCCAGCGCCGCCTGGGTAAGGAAATCAAGGTTTTTAGGGTTTAATACCTTTAATGAAAATATAATCAGACCAGATGTTGACTGTATCTGACAGATTATAATCAGATTTTGATTCACCAGGTCATAGATAGAAAAGTTGTATTGAAAAACTAGTAGCTGGTTGTAAGATCCATTTGGCAATTAGCCACGAAGTAATATAGAAAAAACTGGCCTTTTGGCAGCCTACCATAAAATGCAATGACGTCAACACGACGAATATTGACATGCCTTCGGTTTAAATACAATTAATATTAAACATCAAATTTGCAAAATGTTTGAGGTACATGTATTTTAGAGCTGAAGACATTCCTTTAGCATATAACTGCTTCAAAATACATGCATGACAAATCCCACCTTAGAACGCCTGTTTAGGGAACCATCCATTTTTCACTTGGTAGTCACTTAAATGGTTCTCTATACTCAATTTAATTAAATTATTTTAAATCATATATCCTCAAAATCTCCTTGGAGAATTAGTGTTCCAATTTGATGTAACATTTTTCCAATTCTTCCTGAAATTTGAAAATACTTTCCTGAAACGTAGAAACTTTTATTGCTTTATTTCTTTGTTAAAATTACAATTAAATATGACTGAAAGCTCAAGATTAATTTTATTATTTCTAAAAGGAAAAAATTCTTGTTCTTACTTATTAAGAAAAAAAGAACATCTCTAAAAGGAAAATCAAATAAATTTGTGGAACTACAGAAAGCAATTATAAAAAATTGAAAAAATTGGGAGAGGAGGAAACAGTTTAATGAATTATGCAGTAATCTGGTATTGCTCCAAAGACCTGTATCTATCAGATTATTTTTCAAATTTCTTTAATTATCGGGAGGGAGAACCTCATTGTTGTATTGTCATAATTACCTAGCATATAAGAAGTCTGCTAGGAACAAAATTACTATAAAGCAATGCCTTAAGTTTTAGACTATCTATTGAATAAAATATTTCGCTATGACAAATCTACATCATTGAATAAAAAACCGAAGGTTCCCCATATTGTTTTCACTGTTTGCATGGATATTTAAGAAAATTTGCAATCTTTATATCGGATATTAATAATGCATGAGAATTATTCACAATTAGGTATTTACCTTCCTTCCAATTAGGTTTTCCAATCATCTTTTTAGCAAACTTTAATCCATCCAAACATGAAGACAACAGAATGCTCATTAAATTAAATTCTGCTATGCATTACACGTATTCTTCATTATAAGGTTTCTAATTGTGCTTTATTTGTTATCTCAGCTTTTAGCCTGGCCTGGACTCAACCTAAGTCACCTTGTTAACATAAATCTAATTTCACACTAATTAGTACACATAAACTAAATCTTTGTCAAAGGTATCATAAAGATATGAAAATAGATCCCCAAGCAAAAGTCATTATTTGAATTCAACATCAAGATCATAGTGAAACTATACCAATTAATTAACAAGTCATACTGTTCCATACTGATTAGAACAGAAGAAAACAAAGCCTAACCCAAATTTTTCGTAGCCACACATTCATTTCCTCATCAATCATCTAAGTTTACCAACCCAGGAGAAAAATAAATAAAAAAACACTGAATAAACATCATGAGTAGTACAACATACACGGCAACCACCTAGTTGTACGTGCAAGGCCTTCAAAACCATCTTTAAAAAATATAAAATATTTTTTTTCTATCTATTATTGGATAAAGCATATAAAAGAACTTAAAGGCAAACAGTAATAATAGCTACCGAAAGAGAAACACATTATGAAGATGAAGAGCTTACCTTTAGCAAGAAATTTATCTTCTAAATCCATTGTTTAAAACTTGAATACAGTTAGTTAGTAGGCCTCCCTGTGACAATGAATAAGTATTGAATCCTAAGCGTATTTGTACTTCCTATAGAACATAAATAGAGTAATCCACAAAAGTAAAGGAATTCCTATATTAAAGTGATACCAATTACAATCTTCACTAGAATTCAGCCCAGTTTTGCTTAATTAAGCTAAAGCTTTTGATCTTTACGTAAACAAACAAAGAAATTGAAATTCTGTTTTCTTCGCCCCTTTTTTTGCATCAATTAAACAAAAATATAACATACAAGTTTGAACCGTTTTCTCCTATGTGCATGTAGAACTTCTTGTTCTTTTTTTTTTTTTTTTTTTTTTTTTTCCTTTTTATATTTACTTCAGCCGCAATGCACCGCAATGCAGCTTCAATGAAACAGGACGAGGTGACAGCAACACCAAATTACAATGTATAGCTGTAAAATTAACGATTAATACTTGAAGACAAAATTATTCTCATGTTTTCAGAAAAAAATTTCTCAATCTAATAAATTTTATTTTTTATTTTTTATTTTGTAAACAACAGACTTAATCTCATTCAGCACAAACATGACCAACAAAATTAATTATTATAAAAGAAAAACAAAATTCTCCCAACACATCTTAAAACACCAATGGAACTCACTTTTAAAACTTGTACACTTTCAAGAACAGAAATTAAACCACACTTGATAAAACACAATTCACAACCAAAAGCAACAGGATACAGCCTTCCTAATAATATTTTAGGAGCAAATGTTCATACATTGTGTGAATTTAACGGTAAACAAACAGAAAAAGGTTTCAGGAAAACAAACTAAAACACATATAAGAAAAATCACATGTCAAAAAGCGCACAAATTTGCAAAAGCAGATAAGAGACGGGGACGCAATTCAGAAAAAAAAGCAAACTGAGGAGGAAACTAAAAGAAAAACGGATCTGAACGCCTAAAAACGAATTTTTAAAAAAACTTGATTTTTTATTTCGAAAAAAGCTGTGAAAAGAAAAACAAATCTAAGCGACGAAATACCTCTTAAGAATGGGGAGGAATCTAGGGTTCGAACGGTGCAAAACCCTAAGAATTTCAGCTTCGGGAAGTCGCGAATCAAAACTGAGAGAGAAACTTCTTCGTTGTTGTTAGTTGGTTTGTAATTGTTCGTGAGAGAAAGAGAACAAGCTTGTACGAGTCGTTCACGTTTTCAAGTTAAGAGGAGCGTGGAGGGAGAATCACGCGCAGGTACTACGCGTTTGGTAAATTGGATTAATGCAAAAGCAGGGTTGGTTCTGCATAACAAGAAAAAGAGCATGTAGCAATGTCTGGCTCTCTGGTTGGTGCGTGAAAAACACGAGAAATAAAACTGCGGGTGGTGGTGATACTAAATCAGTATTTTATCTGGTTTATGTTTTGTGTCACTGCATGGGAATATGCATCTGATGATCTGATCTCAACCGTCGGATCCGAGCAATTGATTTTGATGGGGAATATAGTTTTGTTTGTGACTGTTGACTACAAGATTAATTGATTAATAGGTTAATGATATGGGTTAACTAAAATAATTAAGAAATTAATTGAGGTTTAAGGTGGTGGGATTCGTGGAATACGTGTCAGTAGAATCTTCAAAGTAATGAAGGAATCAGTCAAGCAAGTTGCCATGTCAAAAATGAGGTTGGTACTTTTTATGATTCATTGCACTTTTTCTTGAACTGTTTCTCCACACCAATTTATATTTTGTGTGTACTCTAATTCTCCATGTAGTTTATTGGTTGGTTAATGTGAAATTGACTATATCAAAGATTCATGAAATTCATGGGCTAGTGTGGAATCGTTGGTTTTGTTGACCAACATTCTTAAACAACATATAAATTCCCTATTCCACTTTCTGGAACTTATTATTTTTATTGTTTTATAACTGAGGTGTCCGGGTCAGCTTACACATCCTTTAATTAATTCACTAAAACTTTAAAATTAATGATCGGGTAAACCTCCAATAACTACCCTATTAAAAACCGAGGTAAATCGAATTCATAATCTTTTGAGTAATATATTTTTAAGAGTCTTAGTTGACTACTTGATTACTCAGTGATAATTAATTTATTATTTTTTATGTTATTTAATAATTGAATTATATAGAATTTATGGTTGGCTAAATAATACATAATTTGTATTTGTTATTAACAAATTACGTCTTAACAATTAGTCGATCCTTCCACTTAAGTAAGGACAAAAATAGTCATGTGAATCTTTTGCCTAAAGGAAGGTCGGCAAGATAATGGAATTGAAAACACACAAAAACACTTATCCTAATATGAAGATAATGCATGGATAATGTCCAATAACAATTTGATCAATTACACTACAACAAACTAACATGGATAATTCACTACGAATTTGATGTGTCTAACAACAACTGGGTAGGCCAACAGTTAACTAGAACTCTTGGGTATATTACTCAAGAGGTCATGAGTTTGTTCTACTTTGGTTGTTAATAGGAATGACCACTGAGGGGATTTATCCGACTGTCAACTTAAGGTCCCAAAGGATTAGTTAAAGTACGTGCAAACTGATCCAACACTTCCGATCACAAAAAAGAAAAATAAATAAATAAAAAAGAATCCGATGCGACGATTCATAACTCAACTTCGCTTGCCATATATCACATTAATGAGACCATTATATGAGTACCTAATCAGGACCATGTGCCACAGTTGAATTATGTTCTTATTTCGATTAAATAGTTGAATTGAAATCAATACAATAACTGAGCAAAAGATAGGCCTCGAGTAGACAATCTTTGTAGAGATCAGATTCCATAGGAGTATGCAGTAAGCAACTTTATGAAGACCTACCTTTACAGACGCCGTTGCATCGAGTTTACATGTAATAAAAGTGGAACATACTGAAATTTTCAGGCTCTGTATGAACGAAGAGGAAAGAGATAGTTGTGCTAATATTACATGGCTTTTTTTTTTTTTTTTAAATAACAAAAGAAAAATTTAGAGAGAAGCAGAGGCTTGTGTTTCACATTAAAAGCTTAAAAAACAATTTATTTACTAGATAAGTCGAAAGACCTGAATTCATCTAACCAACTTAATATCACACCAAATACAGTAAGAAAGAAACACACACCGCAGCTTTCATTGCATCATCATTTTGGTAAAATTAAGTGCTTCTGTTACTTTACCCTTTGCAACAACTGCATGCAATTGCTTTTATACGTCTTTTGAATGTACATTAAAGATGATCACATGGGACGATTTGCCTTTCAGTGAAACCTCTTTAACCATTCACGAGAACTTTGTTTATTGCAATAATATTACACTACCAACTAACTCCTGTGTTCCAATAACAGATGGCTAATAGGCCATCTTAGTGACACCTCTCTAGAGTAAATGATATATAAGTAACATGTACGTTGTCACATCAGTTACAACATAAAATTAAGATATTTTACCATTAACATTACTAATTAAGTAACGTTTTGCCCCTACATGAAGTCATACCCAATTGGGGTATCATGCAAAAACGGAGATGGAGTCGAGATTTTAACAATTTCAGAAATAGACTGGGCAGACAATGGTTGCTCACATTTGAAGTTAAACAGTGGTTTTAGAAATTTTTAATAAAAAAGTGCAGTGAGTGTACCAGGACATTGAAAGCATAAACATATACTTTACCTACTAGTATAAAGATGGAGCCAAGAAAGTTGTTCCGTGCTGGTTTAACAAAACAGCCATTATAATCTCCACGCAAAGCACCGTGCCTTCTGAATGTAAAGCTGAAAATGTTTCAAACTACACGCCACAAGTACAATACTTTTCTGACTCATTAGAATAAAGTTGATAACTTGTAATTTCCATCACTATTTCCATTAGATAATTCTAGATTTAAATCAAATTTAACGAATATAATGGGGATATCCCACACTTCATCCCCTTCTACAGTTGTTTTAGAGCATTGGATATATAACTTCAATTTAGTTATTTTATTATTTTAAAGTATTTTAGATATCTTTAATCCGTTCCAAATGCAATAGAACAAACAGAGAGAGATAAAATTGTTCACTTGGTGCACCATGTTATAATCATCCTGTTAAAGTATTTCAGAACTCCAACACATAATATAGAAAAGGGGCAGCCTTTTCCTATCCAACACAAAGAGATGATCGAAACGTAGTCGAAATCCGTGCTACATATACAAATTCATACAAGAAAATAAATGAGTTTTCCGTGGTTCAGATGACATGAAACGTCTAATTATTTACTGCCCAGTCATTTCTCCCTTATGCCAAGATTCTTTAACATAATTTCTTCAGCAGATGGGAAGCTCTGCAAAGAAAGAAGAAAACTAATAAATTTGCATAGTAAGTTTTGATCACATTCATTCAATCAACAATGTACATTACTGAGTAAGATTATACACACGTCTCAATGAAGGTAATGTAGCATAGACATTGGCAACCCACAATAGTAAAAACTTATATCGCGATACAACGTAGTCGAACACAATGTAGTAACGGAGGATGGAATTTCTACTGGATTCAACAAAATAGTTTCCTCTTAAACAGTTTTAATGATCATGCTGTAGTAGAACTTTTAAAAGCACAAACAAAAGATCTTCTAAAGAGTCATTGTGTAGACAAATTGATCTTCCCTGCCAGGAAGAATTCACTAAAAAAAATTTACTCATTCTTGATAAACTCTTGTTTATCAAGATCAAACAAGAGTTTAATTCATTAAGCTCAACCCTGGCTTGAACCTTTTTAGCCTGTTATTTTATTTTCCTATAACCAATATATCCCCAAAACCAAGCCACTGGCTTTTCTTCGAGTGGGTGGCACTGAGAAGCTCAATCCCAATCTTTACAGTACATAGAAATATTTTTATGCAATCATAATGTCTTCTAATTCATCAATATCATAACGACTTAAGTTTTCTCTAATTAAGAAATGCATAATTAGAAAGTAAAAAGCATATAGTTTAGTATTTCGTTATATAAAACCAAAAAGAAAATATTTTTTTAAAAGCCTAACCTAAATTAAGAGGCTGATTTCTGGCCGTCACACTCAGGACTCTCGTCAAAATTTTTAGAGGGAAACTTAGCGGAGGCCATTCCAACTTCAAACACTAAATTATCCCCCCTGGACCGGATCCCCGTGATGGACCACCACTTGAAGAAAGCCCAGACTCGAATACCATCCAGCTCCGCGATCCGACCCTGCTCGATCTTCCCCCTAATTCTATTAGAGTAGGTAGCCAAATAGTTGTCCGGCGGGAGCGTTAATTTACATGTGCCACCGAGCTGCACGGAGAACTCGCCAGAGGTCTGGTTCAAAGCGTAGGTTTGAACCGAGGAGGGAAGTAGCCCGATTGGGAAGCCATAGTTTGTTAACTCCGCGTGGGCGAGGGTTGGAGGATCGGGGCTCGAACACGAGAGACGCGTTGAGAGGAAGATGAGAGAGAAGAGAAAGAGAGCTTTGGCCATTCTCTTGTCGAAGAATCTTTTTCAGTTACGTGAGATAATTGTATATCTGTGACGGTTTGATTATTGAGTTGGGAGGAAGAAGAATATGCCTGGAATAATTTTAAAAAAAAAAAAGTTGACTTTCGCCACGTGGCAATGACAAGCTATGCCACGCAAGTCGCACCGTTTTCATGGGCACCACACGGCTCGCCGGTCTATGACAGTTATAACGGTGAGAAAAATAAGAACAATGTAATCAAAGCTATAACCATTAATTGGGTCCAATGGGCCTCATGTCATCGCCGTTGAGTCCAAGTCATTTTGGGCCTGCAAGAGTTTTAGGCTAAAACAATATGAGTAGATCATTAATTATATTAGAATTCAAGACTCCGTTTGGTTCACTTTTTTACACTTTTTAGAAAAGTTTTATGAAAAAAGTTAAAAAAATTTGAATTGGACAAGTATTACGATATAAGATTTGGAAATTAATAAAAATACCTCATATATTTATTTACTAAACATCCCCATAATAAAACATTAAAAGTTAACAAAAACACTCACAACCCACCCAAAAAATATGACAGCCGGCCACCACCATCGGAGGGTGGCCGGAGTGGCCGTATCGACGCATGACCAGTTGGATCTTACCTGTCGTGATCCGATATGACCTTTTTCAGTTAGATCCACGGTGGATCTGGCCGCATTTGCTCGTCAACAACGGCCAACATATGGTCGTCGTTGATGGTCAATGACGACCATATGTTCACCGTCGTTGACGACTGGCTACGGCCAAAGATCTAGCCTTTTCCGGTCAGATCCACCGTGGATACGGTTGGAAAAGTCTAGATCAGCGCACTACCGGCCATATTCAGCCGGTAGTTCGCCGTTTTACCAGATTCCGGCCATCTTCTGACAGTGATGGCCGAAATCTGGTAAATGTGGGTTGTTAGAGTGTTTTTGTAATTTCTAAAAAAAATATTTAAGGGCATTTAATTAAATTAACAAATTTAAGAGGTTTAAAAAAAGGTGAATAATATTATGAGTTTTTTCAATTTTACTGTTTAATTTTATTGAGAATACTAATAGTAGTATTCCCAAAAGGGAACCAACGGAGCCCAAGTCCCCTACTGACTATTCATTTTTGTCGAGGTTTTAAAATATTTATTTTATTATTATTAATATTAGTTATCAATCACATTTTTTATATATACATATAAAAAAGAATTAATCCGACTGATTTTACATGTAAATTTAAGAAAATGAAATCTGAGGTGGATCAAATTTTATCATCAGCTGTTTATTTGAAAAGATCAGATAGTGGGATTTTATTCCTGTAAATTGATATCACGGAGTCTTTAAATTTCCACCTACCGGGCCCATGAAATGAGTGGTCTCTTTAACAGCAAATTTCAAGCTCCTGTGACAAGAAAGAGTGAATTGGACAATAATGAAGAAAAGTTTTACCATTCTGATTTCTAGGGATTTTGATTGAGATGAGAGAACAATAAAAGGCCTCGCCATTCTGACATCTTTAGCTACATCCTATTTACTGGCCTTGGACAAAAGGTTCAATTATGTGGGAATGCAGACGATTTTAAAAAAAATATAAAAAATTATTGTTTTATTGTTGTACCCGCTAGTAATTGGTTTTTAAAACCGTCTCGTCTCGTGCAGATTTAGGATGAGTGGATTTACAGTATAATAGAACTTAGAAATAATTATGGTATAAGCTGCTAATTAATTAGATTATAGACTTTTTATCAAAGGCCTTGTTCTTTTTTATGATATTTAATGGCAAAAGATGTTAATGGTGCTCTTTATTTTGAAGAACATCTTTCTTATAAATAAAAAATATTTTTATTAATTTTTAATGGTAAAGAACACAATTTTCATTCAAATCCAATAGACTCTTTAAATTTAATGAAGATGCTCTTTATTTTTAAGAATAAGAGAGAGAATTAATAAATAAAATACATAAGAACTTGTAGTTTATTAATTAAAATTATCTAAATATAGAGGGCCAAATTCACTCTCTGATTTATATTTTAAAAATAAAGAATATGTTGGACTCTTGTTTTTATGGATAGACTCTTTGTCATAAAGAGTTTGAGTCATATAAAGAGTCATTTGGAGATGCTCTTATTTAAGCCCCACCTAAACTTTTTTTAAGTTTCAGAATCAATTAAATTTAAATAAATTTTCTTTTATTTCAAAATTAACCTTTTCCTTATCCTTTTAAATTTCTCGATTTCCTAATCTTCTTAATGTATCTTCTTCTTAACCCTTTTTAACTTCTCTTTTATTTAATTATAATTAATAAACAATAGTTTCGTTTGAAAACAAATCATTTTCTTGAAATTTTTTTTTGTTTTGTTTGTTTTTGAAGTGAATGAAAATTTGTTCAAATATACTTGTGATTTAGAAAAAATGTATCTGCAAAATCATGACCGGAAATATTCTTTCAATCTTGTGTTGGTTTTTTTTTTTATGGATTTTCCATAATTGTTTCCAATAATAAGCTTTTAAGAAAGAAAAGAATTAAAAAAAGATAGAAAATGGATAATTTTGGAAATTTTAAATTTATTTATTTTTAATTATTTTGGGAATTAGAAGAGTTTGGGTGAAACTTAAATAACATATCATAATCAAGTTGGGATTGTAATAGACCTGTCACTCATCTGGGACTAGGCTTGACTGATTACATTTTAATTGATAGTCATATCAATTATTTTCATATAAAAGACCAATTAACCTTTTTTTTTTACCCATTCTGCCCAAATGAAAGCAGAATCAGAATTTATAGAAAGGTAATTCTCTTGTCATTGTATAGTTCTGATAGTACAGAGCATGAACTTCATATATATAATATATATATATATATATATATTGATTGACAAACTGGAAGCTTAACTTCCTATATATAGATTACAATAAAACTATGCTTACTCACAATCTTACTAACCTCTATTATCTTGTGTAAATATAACGGTATGATACGGGTATTATATGTGTAAATATAATGGCATAGTACAGGTACTATATGCATAGTATCTATACTATACCGTTATATTTACACAGGATAGTAAGAGGTTATTAAGATTGTGAGTAAGCATAACATTCTTAAAGATTATACAGATATTTTTAAATTTCATCTGCACAAGAGAACAACAGATTCCTGAGAACATGAAATGTACAAGCTTATGATAATAATTACTATTTTATAGAAACAAAGAGTATATTTTTGGAAAATATGGAAGTGCGCATGCAGGAGCAAGATATTCTTCATCATAAGGGTTGATTAAGAATTCCAAATCTCAGCATTTTTGACTTTGGACACACTCTCTAGCACTTCATAAGGAATTATGTCCCCAATCACCACCACCCTCTTGCTTTCCAGGTCTACTTTGTATGATGTCACCCCTGATTTCAACCCACAACTCATTAAAATTTTATTGTAGCAAAAGGGTAAGTTAATAATGGATACAGGCTACAGCAAGCTTTGATATGTGAAGGAACATCTGCAACTGTTGAAGAACTTTACCTAGAAAACTATCTTCAAAACAATTTTGTTCTTTCTTAACTTGAAATTAATTAAAGAAAAAGACCATTCCACAAATTAAAGATTCATACCTTCCAGTTTGGATATATGTTTCTCAACTTTTCTTGCACATCCATTGCAGTGCATGGACACCCTCAGCACCACCATCTGCACTCATGTTAATGATTCATTAACTGAACATCAAACGAACTTTTTCACTTAATTTTCTAAGAGGGAAAAAATTTGCTTACCTTGGGCTTTAACTGAAACGCCAGTGTCTGGTTACCAGAAACAACATCTTTTAACCTCAGCAACTGGGTTCTTTCACTTATGATGAGTGGTTTTTCCTCAAATTCATCTTCACTCTCCAAGGTGTTGAGGCAGAAACAAGAACATGAACTTGTATTAAGACAAAGACAATCTAACATCTTGCCAAAACTGAGCTTCCCCATGTCATCCAAATCTCTGAAGATAAACTGGCCCTCCTCTACTTAGGAAACTACAACATGCTCATACAGTCAAACAATAACTGTTATGGAAAGAAACCAATTTCTATTGCAAACTAGTGTCTATGATGCATTTTAAAAATAGGGGAGAGAGAAGCTAATATGGTCAACTTTTATTGGGAAAACAAAAATGCATACAGAACAGAACCCAATGAAAGCTTCAAGCTTATGAAGAAGAAAAGAGGACACCACCTATTTTTATATATAGATCAGTTGGTCAACAATAGTGGGCAAGGGAACAAGCAATCCAAAAAGACACTAGTGTTAAACTGTAATCACAACTAGATTTTGTCATGTGATGAACACCTTAACTTCTTTAAAAGCTTCAAAGGAGGAATTTCATGTGAGAGAACTTGGAAGACAGTGAGTGAACATCTCATGTGACTACTGTTATCTAGTCGTCAGAGAAACCCTACTGAAATTAAAAAGCAAGTAAAGCAAAGAAATTAATTTCAAAGTGGAGGAATTAGAAACATCAATTCACCAAAAACTTTATGACGTGTGATGATGAGTGAGTCCTAAATGAAGGAGAAGAAGAACGAATGTATATATTTATAGATGGATCTGGATAAGCATCTCCATTATAGTATATATATATATATGCACATTTTGAATCATTAGAATATGTTTATTAATGCTACTCCTTGTCGATCTCCATGTTAAATTATATAAAAAGTTACATTAAGTGCTCTCTGGTTATGTATATTTTATAGACTTTTACTGATCGCCACTTGACTTTCTTCACTCACCATTAATTAGTCATATGGGCATGGTGTCGCAAAGCATGCAGAAGGGAATAATATATATTGAATTTGAATGTAATTACTTTAAGTCATGCAAGATTAAAAAATTCGTAGTAGCAAGTATGACGTGGTGGATAGAATAATAATTTCAATGACACTATAGGAGTGGAAGCTGTGACCAACTTGTGTTGTGTCATGGCCTTCAATATAAAAATGGGGATGAAATGACACAGAAGGGGGTAGAATTATTGATTCCATGAGGTCAGAATAGTTATGAATGATTGGAGGATTGAATAAATTAAGTTAAATGGGTCTATTTTCTACAGGTTGGTCCATGTGATTGATGGTTCCTTTTTAAGAGAGGAGAGAGAGAGAGAGAGAGACGAAAGATAGAAACAAAGTCATGTTGGGCAGGTGTAAGTCACATGAGTTTTGATGTGGGAAGAAGGCAACGAGCAAAAGCTTAGCTTGCAAATGTACCATTCATTAGGAATATGTTTTGACAGCCCAGCAAAAGAGAAGGGAGATTGTTCTATTTTGGATCGTTAAGGGGGAGCAAAAAGGGTCCAGCTTATTCTCGTTCGCTGTAGGCTGTAGCGCACCGCAACATAAAATTAATGCCTTCCAAGTTATATCCTGATCTCTTCATCACATTCTACGCTATTTTGTTTAATAAACCCTCTACTTTTATTCAAATTTTGAACTATTTGTCTAGTGGTAATTGGCATAACTTTCAAAGAAACTACTCAGATTGAGGTGAGGACAACAGGATTAGGAATGCAGGGACCATGTTTATTGTATAGTGAAACGAATCTGGACTACACACTAAATGGAGATCAAAAGTCAAAACCTCTCTACATCAAAGCAATTAAATTACAAGAGTATATCCAAAGTATTCTTTATATGACTCAAATTATTTATTATAAATAGTTTATTTATAAAAATAAGAGCCCAACAGATCTTTTATCTTTAAAGTATAAATTAGAGAGTGAGTTTGACTCTCCACATTTAGAGAGTCAAATTTCATTCCTTATCCTAATTTTAATTAATAAACTAAAAGTTTCTATGTATTTTATTTATTAATTCTCTCTTTCATTAAGTCTATTTCTTAAAAATAAAGAGCATCTTCATTAAATTTAAAGAGTCTATTGGATTTGAATAAAAATTGTGTTATTTATATTTTAAAATTAATGAAGATACTCTTCAAAATAAAAAACACAATTGGAGATGCTATGATGTATGAGGTTAAGTGAGCAATTTTATATGTAGAGTCTTAGAGCATCTTCAATGATGCTCTTTATTCTGAAGAGCATCTTTCATATAAATAAAGAGCATCTTCAATAATTTTAAAATATAAAGAATACAATTTTTATTCAAATCCAATAAACTCTTTAAATTTAACGAAGATGCTCTTTATTTTTAAGAAAAAGACTTAATGGAAGAGAGAATTATAAATAAAATACATAAGAACTTATAGTTTATTAATTAAAATTGGGATAGAGAGTGAAATTTGATTCTCTAAATATAGAGAGTCAAACTCACTCTTTAATTTATATTTTAAAGATAAAGAGTCTATTTGACTCCTATTTTTATGAATAAACTCTTTATAATAAAGAGTTTAAATCATATAAAGAGTCATTTGAAGAAGTAAATGGCAAATCGAGCAATAGCCATCCTGGAATGTAACGTATAGAAGGGTCACTGGGCCACCGACAATTAAACTTCAAAAATTGTAGCAGGTTTTAAACTAACTTGATAAAGTTATTCCTTCTTCTAACAAAAACAATTGCATGCACCACGAAATGTACATACACTTAAGAACAGAATCCAACACCAACTCTTTAGATTTAGATTAATCTAAGATTTGTTTAGGGAATTCTTTACCAGAAACTAATAGTCTATTACTGGGATCTGCAAAGCAACCTAATAATAATGTTAATCCCACAAAGAATATGTAATGCAGAGCATAAGCACAGCCATCAGGACCACTCAGAACTAGACTCTGCCTGTGCGGGTAGTAATTTTATTGAGTAGTAAGGGTGCATTGCACCATAAACTTGATAACGACTCTGCCATTAAACTACTTTTAGTTTTTCAGCTAACTGTTGGAGCTATTCAATAACTTAAGTAATCCTACACATCAAAATGTTATAACTGATCAACAGCACCCGCTTGTTAAAAATTTAGACAAGAACGTACAGAGGTCGGAGTTCACGCTACAGCGACGAGCACAAGTATAGAGTTTTTGTTTTCGTCCATGTAGTTTTAAAAACCAGAGACTTTATATTTATATATTGTTGTTAACAATCCAATATAACTAAACACACACATAAAGAGATCAAAAAACAAAACACCAAAATTTACCGTGGTTCACTTATCCTTTTAGATAAGTTAGATCTACGTTGAGCTCCGGAAATGGAAGAGCTCGCTGCACTACTATCATTTCAAGAAATCGTCAATACAAACCCACAATGTAAGATCACAATAATACCCTTGATTCAAGATCAACCTAAAACTAATACTCTTAGAGAACCTCACCCTGGACCCTCTAAACAAGAGAACAAACTCCCTTAAAGAATGATTATATCCTAACCACTCAACCCTCCTAGTTACAAATATCTATCAAGAAGAAGCAGCAAAACTACAGAGAAATGTTTCAGTCAAAGACTCTCGCTATCTCCCTTTGATTCTGCAAAAGTTGTGTTTAAACATTGTTGACCAAGTAGCCAATTTTCAGCCATTGGATTTGAGTGCTTTTGACGATCAGGATCTTATCTAAACCATGCTCCAAAACGACACCGCATAAGTAAAACCAAAATAACACCGTTTTCAAGCTTCCACTGCAACATATATGTATATATGTGTGAACTTGTATCCATAAGGCAGTAGATGAAGGTTCCATAAGTGGTATTGTACTTCACCAACTGGAACTTTATTTACAGCAGATTCTCATTTTGACATTGGGATAGTGAATATTTACTGCAGAGTGGAGTTTTTAGTCTAAGAGAAAACCAATCAAGACCGTTGAGAATCTAACCACCAGAGTGAATTCTATGAAATTTAAAAACGATGCTCAAAGATAAATATTGATCTATTGTATTAGTTGCACCATTAGTACCAAGCATAGAGTAAATGTAGAATATCAGAATGTCTAATTTTCCTGCCCCAGTGCTTCTTACCTCCACAATGATATAAATTTCTTCTTAGACATGAGAGCTGCTTCACGTAATTTTTTCTAGTCATTTATACATAAGATTTTACGATAGTTTATAGTCAGAAATTTAGATACGTCGTACCTTCGTGACAGATAATTAGGATCTCCCCAATTATTATTGACCTATTATTATTGGTGGCTTTATGATGTCTCAATATTTCTGCATTCAATTTTTGGTTAAAGATACAGTATCTTGATGATTCTCAGCTTGACACCAGTGAGATTTGATGAAATATTTTGAATCATAAAGTCTGTTGTTGCCATAATTTCCAATTAAATTTCCTTTTTATGATTTAAATCAAGTGGTTTCATTTTTTGATTTGGCAGTTTGATGATTCTCATGTACACTTCAATGCAGTTCTGATAATACTGTGCCATTGGACTGAAAATGGTTTAAATTTCCGGCTAATGGGAGGACTCAATGAGTAAACTTAGCTATACGTAAGTCATAACCGATAGCAGCATGACCAAACAATTGGAGCAACAGATGAAACAGACCAGTTCAAAGCATTCAAAAAAATCAGTACAATAAGCAGCTGTTTACATTGTTCATTTTTCTCCTTTATTCATACCTTCATTAAAGCAAGAGTAGAAGCAAGCACAAGACTTCTCTGCATATTTCAATATGATAATTTTTTTGGCTCTTATCGAGTATCTATACCGTAAAGGAACTACAAAAGTGAGGATGTGATCTTCAAAGGAAATCGTAGCTTCTCTGATCTACAGGGAGTCACAGAAAAATGGTCCTCTGCAAAAACTGCTTGAACAAAACAATCCATGATATATGTCATATGATTCAATCCTTTACCATCCTATGTACAAATTATGGGTATAAATTGTGATCTGCTATCTTTTTCTTTAGATTTCTCACCAAGAAAAGAAATTCCCCTTCAATAAACTTACCAAAGTACTCGAGCAAACAAGCAGAAAGATAATCCAAAACAGTAAACTAAAAAGCCAAATTCCTGATCACCATATTTTAAAGGAGCTTTAAAGCACTATCATCAATACAAGCAACCAATACATTTAAACCATTTATAAATATTTTCTCTCATCAATACTCTGTAATATCATAGATGTTTTCTTACTAAAAACATATATTTAGCATTATTAAATGCATGCTGACCAAGGTTCTCGAATGATCTTACTTCTTTTGTTAAAATAAAACTTAAAAGTAAGAGAGTTTACACTACCAAAGCATCCTTATTCCATTTCGAAATTACTAAAATATGACCAGCAAACGAAGAAACAGACACAACATTTTGAGAAAAAATTATATTCACAGCATACGTGTCAAAGAATTCTACGATTAGCAAATCCATTCGTTGATGGTGAAATATTTGACAAAGAACTTATAAACAAAAACACCTGTACCTAGTGCGTCTCGAGTTATATCATGACGTGAAGAACTGAAACTATAACTGGAGTTGAGAAAGGAATTCTGCAAAACAGGATAATAGAAATTTCAGCATTTGAGAACTATACAAATATAAAAATGTTAGAAACAACCAAATAACTAACCGGCTAATCCACGAACTATTGTATCTATCATTTTAGGTGGTTAATATTCACCTTTAAATACCTGCACAAAAGACACAGACATGGGGAAGAGGCTCATTATGACTTATGAGCAAAAACGTACACAAATTTAATTTTCCTTTTTAGACGCTTGATCATCAAGTGCCCAATTCATTTTTCTCAGGTTGGTAGTTGCAAAATTCTAATAGTATTGAACTAGAAAAAACTAATGGATAAATTCGAAGTATTTCTAGCACAACCAAAAGTAACTCAGAAACCTAGCCAGTTCTATCTTGGAAGATTGCTGCACTAAATTTGCCAATGACAGTTTTGTTACTGCATAATAGCTCAATGATTAAGTTTCTATAAACTATTATGACGAGTAATTCTTGGTTGAAGAGAGAGGGGAGGGTATTTAAAATGAATTAGGGTTAAAAAGGTAGTTCTTCAGAAGGGAAAGGGCATTTAATGGAGATTAAGAAACGCACGGCAGTCTGAAATAGAGAATGTTATTGCGTCAGAAAGTTTAAGATAACAACGCCTACGTACATATAATACAGGGGTGAGGTCTAGAACCAAGACAGAGGCAATGGAATTCTAGAGCAATATAATATCCTTCAAGGGAGTCATAATTGGTTACATCCAGGTTAGTAGGCACATAATCACAAGGGTATATCCTTTGACATTACCGCACCAGTAACATAGCAGTTTCCGTTTGTAGGAGGCAGATTGCTTATTGCCAAGTTGCATTACCTGAAAATTTGTTTTCTCAGTTTGTCCACGCATGGAAATCAGTATTTGTTCCTTGAAAATAAATTTGCAGTGATCCTAAAGACACTAATCGTGTCTCATTATACACCACACAGAAAGAAAAGTCAAATCCGATTGACCTACAGGCATTCTAACTTCTTTTCTTTAATGAATTTTATGAATCGTGACCTTCATCATTGCAGAAAACCTAGCTTATAATCAGAGTGATTGCTGATGTCTCTTTGTAACATTGTTGAGAATATGTCTAAACTAAAATAAAATATTCAACGGAAAAAGAAAAACATTCTTCAATTAATATATTTTAAAGACAATGCAAGCAGAAAAGAAAACAATGACAAACAAAAAAAGAGTAGGGAATCCTTCAATGTCACTAGCCTAGTGACACCACAAGAAGACGACTGTCTGTTGAATGAGCCGTAACATTTGGAGAACTATGTGTGACACCTACGGTTCCAGCAGATGCTGGGAAAACTGGCAACCTGGAGACATCACACTCATCTCATGGGACACGGATAAAAGTATATGGAAAAGGGGTTAGCTATTAAAAAAAAGGCAGCTTAATTCTCGTTACTAAAGTATCCCACTCATATAACGTCCTTTCAGAAATCAATTTTCAACAAAATAAAACTGCATGGTCTGCATAAACATTCAAATGACATCTACACTTATTATGCTATTGAAGATGAATTTAGTTTCAATATCTTAACAAATGTCAACTATTAGAAGAAAATGGAAACACAAAAAAAGAAAAAAGAAAAAAAGAAAAAAAAACCCTCAAATGCTACACGAGGTGATCTCAAGCCATCCTCCTTGAGGAGCATAGATGCAGCCATGCAATACCCCTAGCTTAGTTTCACTTATAAATCATAACCCTGCGTCCCACCCTTGTGAATTATTGTTAGACTAGTATAATTATTCAGTCAGATTAATTGCAAAACAGGCTTACCAATGAGCATGGCTCAATAAAAAAATCTCAACATCCAATATTAATACTGGCCTTGATGCATCTAAGCGGAAAAGTTGATTCATGAAAGCAATTCCAAAGAAGTAGCCATAGGGGAACATTAAGAATACCATGTGATCTCGGGATTTCCAAGACCATTATGCGATGGAGAAATACAACTAGAGACCACCGTATTAACAGCAGGATCACCACTGTGCTGCCCACCAGGTCGCATAGCTGCATATCCAAACATTCAAGCTCTAAATGAATGAAAATTCTTAAGAGATTTAAACCAAGAACTTGGACGTTCTACCTTCTAATGATTATAGAAAGATAAAAATCAAAACCAAGGCTAATTTTTTCCCAGAAGCAACTCTATGTTTCATTGGCTTACTAAGTTTTAAGCTATTCATAGTTGGATCAATATTAGCAGATATTAGAATTATTCAATACTAGTTCCATCTAGTCAACCCCAATGGATAGAGAAGGAACCTTTGGATAATAAACAATAATTATAACTAGTATTTTGCACAAGCATTGTTGATGTAGAAATTTGTTATTATTATTAGGTTAACACACCACATATTATAATAACTATTGTAGTATACTAGGAATAAGTGCTGCAGTGGCAGTAAAGTTCGGATCACCCTGTGTCTCAGCACATAGAAGGGAACCTCTTCTGAAATCTTCAAGTGAGCTTGTTCCTTTTCCACCAAATTCAACTTTTGACTTACTTGCTCCGGGTAGAGATCCTGGCGTTTCTTGCTCATATGAGTTTGCTAACAATGCTTCAGAGGAAGCTTGAGATCCATTCCCGGAGCATGGACTCAACTCCAGAGGAAGAAACTGTAAAGGAGGTTGAAGTGGACTATAAACTGGAATTTGTTGAAGAACAGGGTGCTGTGCTTGTGGATATACTCCACCAACTTGTTTGGAGATTGGGCTCAGCTGTTGAGTAAACATTGTTGAGAAAGATAAATCCCTTGGAACCATCACCTGGGGAGTTTCTATCGGGTAGGTCAGCCAGCTTACTGGAGACTGCAAAGGCAGATTTGTCAGATAACTTTCAGGAGCTGGATGGATAAGCTTCTCTCTATAAAACAGGTCTTGTCTAATAGGATTAGCGGCAATCTTCGTATGAAGCAGTGAATTGCTTTCTGGCGCCAATATTTTATGATTTGGACGTGCAGAAGTTGGAAAATATCCCGATGTTCTTCCACGTTGTGTATCCCTTTTCGGTGTTGCACCGGTACAATGATTAGAAGGACTGGAAGAATTAAACATTTGCGAAGCAGAACTCGTGTTTGCTGCCATAACAAGCTCCTCAGAGGCAAGTACTGAATCAGACTCTTGATTTGAAATCTGTGAGGATACTCTCACTGAATCAGTATTTGAAGCCACTTCCACAAAGTTCCCGGATCTGAAAGGTCAGCAGACAATGAATTTCATGTTAAAAATGTATACAATTAAAAAATAATGTGTTAGTAAAAAAAGGGTCAGCATACTTCTTTCTTGAGAATGTTTTTGCTAATTCGGTATTAGAAGTCTCGCCCAGTGGCTTATTAGGCCTGAAAGTTCAGCAAAATAATATTAATCTGAAAAATGTGTTCAATGCAAGGAAGATTATGAGAAGGATATATATACCCATATTGTTAACTTACTGTCTTGTAGTAGGTTTATAATTCATAGGCCCTCTCCCTCTGACGATTCTAGATGAATTTTGATTTTTCATGTTGTCATGGGTTTTAGACGAGCTTGCGTTAACGTAACCACCAGCTTTGCGTTGATTCTTGTGGTGTCCTTGATAATATTGTTCAGAAGTCCTCATAACCTGATAATTAGTTAAACAAATTGTCATGCTGATGCTTTCATATTTGTATTTACAATTCATGAAAAATCAGCATGTACACAAAACTTATTCACCGGGGCATTAAACTTCTTATCATATGTTTCCTGCACTTTCATCTCGTCAAACTTGTCATGCTTCCATTTTTCATCATCTTTGAATTTCCTAGACCTTTCATCAAATTTCCACCTGAAAGAGACAAATATTCATAAAGTATTCGGGCATATATTATATATACTATTAACCTGGCAATTAACAGTGAATTAGAGATGTATACAACTTCGAACAAAAAAATTAATCAATCAATAGATATTTAAAGCGAGTAACTGAAGGTTTTAAGACTCTAGTCAAACAAACGATTTAAATCAATTAAATAAGATCTATACAATACTAAAAAGAAATTAAAAGTACCTGCGTTGACTATGGCGACGGCCTACAGAACGATCATCGTGCATATAAAACGCGCCGTTTTTGGGATCCACAGGCGGCTGCCACTCTTTCTTTTCTTTGCTCTGCTTCACCGTCACTTCATTCGAAACTTCTTGTTCATAACAACGCTCTTCGCATTCTTTTTTTTCATAAACATTTTCCTCTTCTTCTTCAAATACTTCCACTCCCTCATCTGCCAGCTCATCCACGTACGACACCTCCTCACCGTCGTCGTATCCACCTAGACCGTCCGAATCGTCTCCGTAACCAACACAAACTTTCCGATCACTCCGTTCAATCCTTATTCTCGCCTCTCCTTCATTGTTAACAAAATCATCGTCGTCATCGCTTGCATTTTTTCTTCGCATTACCAGAGCAAACACCGACTCTTCTCATCCGCTCTCGTACTCTGTTTCTTCTACCTTGTCATCTTCTACAAACTCCGCCATTGGTTTTCACTCTTTCTTCAAGCAAAAATAACTATCAAGAATACTCGGTTGAGCTTCGCGATAAGAAAGAATAGTTGAGTTTTGACTTTGTTGCGTATGATTTTTAATTCTCTGTTCCTACACTGATATGCTGAAAATGGAGCGCCAAGTTTTCATTTTAATTTATATTTTTCGTTTTTAATCCGAACTCGCGCCGAAAAAGAGCCAGAACCAATTCCTCTCCCGTTTGTCTGTTTCTGTTACGCTTTTGCCAGCTCAGCACCGCAAGAATATTGTTGTCAGTTTGTTTTGGGTCCCACGTTGTACGGCGGCTTTAAGCAAATATGAAGCCACTCCGTAAACTGATGGTTGGATCCTCAAAGGAGCCCATAAACCATCAATAGGCGCCTGGCCGTTGAACGTCGTTTTCTATAATTAAATAATTGTTTCTTTCGTGTTAATACTACAATTTAATAAATAGTTAAAAAATAATAATAAACCACCCTTAATCTGATTGTAAAAAAATAAAAAAAGGTTTTATGAATTCTTAAATTTGAGTTTTTACATGCTATGATAGGAATGATCCCTAAAAAGTTTATTAGATCATTAAGTTTAAGACTTTAGAGGATTAATTTTACTAGATCGTTAATTTTAGGACTTCGAAGGATTAATTAATGTGCACTAAGCTGGTTCAAATAACCCCAATTAGGATAATTAAATAAATAAATAAATTAGAATCCTAACTTTGTATATATAATATTATGGTAAAGAGAAATTAGTTTGGTTAATAGCACACTCATAGACTGATTATGAGTTATTTTTCCTTTAATACACATAAACATTTTTGCTTTTTAAGCTTTATAAAAGCACTTTTTGAATATGTAAACAAAAGTTACTTTATCATTTTAAAACATACCTTTTAGATACTAGTAAAATAATTGTCTCGTTAAAAAAAAAAAAAAAAAAACTCATTTTCTTTTTTTTGCTCGTATTCTTATGTTTATTTGTATATATATTTTTTTTAGTAGTCATCAATGATTGTAACGAACAAAAATGACTTTTTAACTAGCTAAAATTATTTAATTTAAAGAAGAAAAAATTATCTCGTCCTTACTAAAGCCATGTCTATAAATATTGAAAGTGACAGCCATGTTACATGCTATATATATTAATTATTTGTGGGAACAATATAATTGTTTGGCTTAGATCCAAATAATACTTTATAGTTTTCTTTAAAGCTTGTTCTGTTTTAAAGACTTCAAATCATTATTTAGCAAATTCGACGACAGCCAACATCAATTTCTTTTTCACATTCTTGATATATGCTTACATGCTCTGAAGATCATGGTTGTATATACATATAAAAGTGTAATTTGCATGCAATTGGACATATTTGTGCAACCAAAACTTTCTATTTAAGTTCTATCTATGATTTTAAAATAAATGATTCATTATAATTAGAAAAACTATATCTTAATCACCATTAGATGATATAATAGTAAAAGAAAAAAAAAAGATTCTCTAAGCTTTTAAGCTTAAGTCCTCCTAGACGCTAATAAAGATGGTCACGGGAGGATTACTCAATCGAACTTTCAAGACCTCGAGAGATTAGTTGAAATACGCATAAACTAATCTAAACACCCTAAATGATTAAAAAAAAAAAAAAAACCTGTAACTCTTTTTTCTAATAACATTTTGGTAACTACTTAGTTTTGAAACTCATTATTGATTATTGACACGTCTATTCTTTCGCAAGTGTAGATGAAAATTTGTTGATGCGACATTAGTGTTTAAGATGACTAAAGTTGACCCAAGATGGCTCTCAAGTGGTTCATATGCCTTCATTAATCAACTTCATATTAAATATAAGTAAAGTAGTTTCTTTTGTATGATAATATTAATAAATTTACCATTTTCTTATTATTTAATAGATTTTTTTTTTTTTTTATCTTGAATGCAAGTACATTATGATAATTTCAATTTTATAAAATATTAAAATCTTTCAAAAACTCTTCTAGATTTTACATAATTCATTGAGATTTTTATACACAAATTCTAAAATCATTGAACCAATCTTTACATATTGGTAAGCAATAATTTATTTTTCTAATTTTTTCGAAATTTATACATAATTCAGTATTGATCCTTTAAATTTAGTAAAGTTTTTTTTTTTTTATTACGACTTGGGAGTTTTGGACAGTTTACACACACATAAACTAAATCTTTGGGACCTTTAAACTATCGATCAAATAAAAATTTTAATAACCATTTCTATTAGCAATTAAGAAAAACTCAAATTCAGAACTTTCGAATAATAATCCTAAAAGATTTTAAACTTAAATAGATAAGTTATCGTTAATAATTTATCAAAAATACCCCAAATTCGTAAATTAAATCCCTTGTTTTTGATAGTTACCTTTCACTTCAGTCATTCTTAAAAAATAAATAAAATAATAAAAAATAAAGAACGAATCATTTGATTGGTGTGCTTGAAACGTTGGGGCAGTAGACTGAATTGAGTCAAAGAAAGCACACGGAACAGTAATTGTAACAGCAAGTGGTAGCCGATAACACAGTGAAAATAGCGTCTCATTTACCTCGCTCTTTATATTTATACTTCTCTCTGTATTCTCTTTTTAATAAAAAAACATTGTTTTCTCTCTCTCTCTCTTCCTTCTTAGGAAAAACAGACTTTGGTTATGCTCTTAGCTGTACAAAAAAATAGCCATAGTTACCAAACCTTGAAAGATCTGCAACTCCTTCTTTCTCTCTCTGTCTCTTTCTCTCTCTCGGTGTCTACTGCGCTTTATTTATTCGAAGAAATTAAGTCTTAAGTTCTGGATCTCTATCATCACCAGCTCAAAATAAGCACCCTAAATTCAACCAACTTTCTTCCTTCTGCTCCAACCGATTCAGGTTCGTTTTCTTCTTCTCTTCTCGCCTTACTCCACTTTCACAAGCTTTGATTTCTCAGATCCGTTGCTCAGTAACGTCCAATTTTGTTATGCGTTTTGTTTAATTTATGCTCCCTTTTTTGCGGAGACTGTGTTTTGTATGGAACCAAAAACATTTTGTTTCCTTTATTTATTTATTATTTTTAACTTGTTTTCAGTTTACGTTTCTTTATCTCTTATATTCTATGTTAAACAGTGCCTTTGCATCTTTGTTGAGATGAAAACACTATAAAATATTCTTAGCTTGATCACCCTCTTGAACAATCGGATGATTGATTCTTCGAAAATTTGTTATGTTATTAGGTGTCGTTTTGGAGAAAATTGAAGTAGACTGAATCTTTTTTCGTAAGTCATTTTGGAGATAATTCGATCACATTATTTATAGCATTGGTTTTAAATTACAGGAAACTGGAATGGCGAATCGAGTAAAGGAAGAGGAGAAAAACGAGCGAATAATTCGGGGACTCCTTAAACTAACTGATAATCGCAGATGTATTAATTGTAACAGTCTGGTATGCCATCTATTGCATCCTTGTTTGTGCTTAATTAAATGAAGTTCTGGATTTGTATATTTCATGATTGCTTAATTAAATATTGGTGCCAGGATTGAGTTAGTTTCATTTGTTTAACACTTGATAGGTTGCTCAGGAAGTAAGTTAAATTAAAGTAATGCTTTACAAATTACTCCAAATTTGTTGGGAAAGTAACAAGACGGAACAATTGGGTGCAATGAATAAGTCGAGTTATTTGCTGATAATGAAAAGAATTATGTTATAACTTATTTAGGCTTGACATGGAAACATTCTGTATTTGGGGAAATTGGACAGATGGAATTTTGCAACCCAAATACTTCTCAACTTAGGCTTTATGTAGACTGACACTTAAAAGTATGATAAGAAGCGATAGAATTCTACTGGTGTGCAGTAGACTTTGAACGATTAGTTAACTCTTTGAATCTCTGAACAACGAATAAATTGCTATATATATATATATATATTAGAGAAATAGATTAATATCCATAAGCTTCTCACTGGCATTTGCTTTCTTCTGCAAAGTTCTTTCTGAAGTGTTTGTGTCTTGCAATATAATGGTTTTAAGTCATCATATGAACTCTGGAGACTCAACTAGTGGGTGGGGACATAGTCGAATAAGCAAAGTTTAGACTCCAAACTCCATGAGTAATACCATTGCAGTCTCACTATTCAAATTTTGGCAAATGAAACCAAATCTCTATTAAGTTTTTCCTTGGGGATTTCATATAGATAGTTAAGGATCGAGTAGGTGATCATTCCTTGTTCTCCTTATATCTCAAATTTCAATTGTACATTTACTATAATAGGAATATCACAGGATCTGAGTGTGTGCGCAACTATTCTTCCTATATGAAGAAGCAAAATATGTGACCTGTTATAATATTGCTAACTTACTTTTCTGCCAAGCAGGGACCACAATATGTTTGCACAAATTTCTGGACATTTGTTTGCACCACTTGCAGTGGAATACAGTAAGTTTGGACTATGATTTTCTTATTATCCGGGATTTCAAGTTTTTTCTGTTCATAAGTTTCCTTAATATACACCGATCAAAGAAAAAAAAAACGTTTCCTTGAATATACATGTACATCACGGTGTTTCTTAGAGAGAGAGAGAGAGTTAAATAAGTTGCTTTCCCAGCTTAACTATTTTAAATATTTCCAGTCGGGAGTTCACGCACAGAGTCAAATCAATATCAATGGCTAAATTTACTTCACAAGAAGTTAGTGCTCTTCAGGAAGGGGGGAATCAGGTACACATACCTTCTTCTTCTTCCTCTTTTTTTGATTTGTTAAACCTCTCCTGGTTCCCATGTCATATTTATTACTAATCCTTCGCTTTTTATTTTGGAATCATATGTCTGGTATATATAGCGTGCAAAAGAAATTTACTTTAAAGAATGGGATCCACAACGCCAATCTGCTCCCGATGGCAGGTTATTACTCATTTAAATTATGTTTAGTTATATGTATTCACAATTATCCCATTTCTGATTTAGTTATTTAATGGCAGTAATGTTGAGAGACTTCGAGATTTCATCAAGCATGTTTATGTGGATAGAAGATACAGTGGTGAGAGGAATTATGACAAGCCTCCGAGGGCAAAGATGGTAAGATGCTACTTTTTCTCTTTTTGATTTCTCTTGAGATACTATCTGGTATAATGTAGTAAATGTAATTAAATTGAAAATGAATTTGACATGTTTGGTTGTTTCTATTGTAAGATGGATTTGTCTCCAATTATTGTCGTTTGAATAATGGCATGTCATTTAGGGTGATAAGGAAGACTTCTACGAGAAAGGGAGATCCCGAAGCCCACCATATGAAGATACATTTGAGCGTCGCTACGGTGACAGGTCTAGTCCTGGTGGAAGAAGTGATGATAGGAATTCTAGATATGGTTATGATGAAAGAAGAAGTCCTGGATATGAACAAGAAAGTCGACAGTATGGTGATTATAGGAGAAGTAGTCCTGCTCGTCCAGAGATTGTCAATGATTGGCGTAGAGATGATAGGTTTGGAAATGGCCGGAAAGGATCCGATGGAGATTCAAAGCTGGAAGGCAGGTCACCTGAGCGAACTAAAGATCTGGAGTCATCTAGCCCCCCTATAGTTCGTCCTGTTAGGGAAATTTTAGGAGAAAATGTTTTGCCTCTTCGTATAAGTGAACCTCCTAAAGCCAACGGTGGCAGGGCTGCCGATGGCTCTACACATACACAGGTGGGTCTTCCGTTAATTTAAGCTGCATACTTGTTCATGTTTGTTAATATGAGTTATTCCTTAAAGTCTGCTTCTTGTTTCTCAATCTGGTAGAGAAATGCTCCATAATCCACCAGTAGCTGCCATGCCGGCAGAGCCATAGATATCAGCATGGAAGCATTGACAATATTTTTCAATGCTTCCAGTATTACTTTATTGTAATCTTTAGAAAATTGTAACTTTAAATAGTGGGAGCTTTTCTTTTGACAGTGAATTTTCAAATTTATCGTCAGATTACTTGTGCTGACAAATAATAGCCAGATATTGTTTATATACTGCATTTTCTTCCTTTATGGTTTATTATTTGATGTTTTTTATTCAAAGAAATCCTGTATGGCTCTCTCTATGTCACTCTGATGTGATTCCAAGAGAACTTAATGTGTACTTGTCTTCGACTGATTTGCGTATTTGAGGATTCACATTATATACCTTAATTTTTACTGATCTAGACATCTGCATAAATGTCAATTTGAATTTCTTTCATCTTCTCTTACACTTTCTTTTGTTTTTTTCTTCCAAATTTTCTGGAAGAACCGATAGAAAGGGATATGGATTTACCATATTATCATCTCTATTTTCAGAGAACTGCATCTTCTAGCAGCTTGGGATCTGCCAATGAGAATCCAGCTGAAGTCAAATTGGAGAGTACTGGAAGCTTAATTGATTTTGATGCTGATCCTGAACCTCCTACTACTGCCACAGCTACACAAGCACAACAGAGTATTCAACCTCAACATGTTGCACAGCCAGCAAGTCATACCAATGACAACAATTGGGCCTCTTTTGATTTTGCCCCCGAGACAAAAGAATCTCAAGCTCCAAATTTGAATACGCTGGAATCTGTCTTTTCTCTGGAAGTATCTGCAATACCCAGTAGTGCAAGTGCTCCAATAACTGCATCTGTGGCTCATGCTGGTGTATTACCAGTTGGTAGTAACTCACCTGTTGCACCTGTGGGGCAAACACCAATTTCTCCCTTTAGTACAGTTGCCCCTGCAGCTGCACCGGCTAGTGGATTTGCTACATTTCCCCCACCTAATGCTTTGGCAGCTGCCCCAGGAACAACGCCAGTATTGCCTGGGAATGTTGGTAATTCCTTTAGCGTGCAGCATCAACAACATTCTTTATTTTCTACTACTGTTAGTCAAAATGTTGCACCACAACTTACAGCACCAGTTCATGGAGCTTCAAGCAATCAGGTGAGCTTAATAATGTGGTATTTTCAAATCTTAGATGATATTTCATTCTAGTCCAGTATTTGCTCAAACTTTTGCTTCCTGGGCTTCTTGGCAGCCATGGAATTTGTCTCATGCTCAGAATTCACAAGGGCCTTTGAATGCACCAGCTATGCAAGCTCCTCAATTTGTCCCAAATTCTGCAGAGTTCAATTCCGGGAGTGTCTCACAACCTTCACCTGCGGAAGTAAAGTCAACTGGAAGGAAAGAACTGCCTGAGGTGATATTTCCTTTAAGTTTTCGCCTATGATATATTTGTGGTACATCTGGATTACATATTTGTAATAAATCTCGGTTTGATTGCAGGATCTGTTTGCTTCAACTTATTCACCCTTTCAAGCAGTTCCGGGGTGGCAAACTGGTCCGCCTCGTGCCTTGGGGTTCTCAATGCAATATAATACTGCAGTGGTACCTTTACATACCAAAAGATTATTATATATAATTTTGCTCGACAAGTTACTCACAATTGTGTATATTTTATGGTTTCAGCCCATGCCAACTTTTGTGCAGTCAAAGTCGACAAACCCATTTGATGTCAACAGTGAATCACCACCAGTTCAAGCCCAAATGGTATGTTTGAACTGATCTTGTTCATTGCTGTTGACTTTTTTGTTATCTAAAATCAAGTATTTTCTAGTAAAATTTTGTTGTTTTGTATTCCTCATGATGCAGTTTCCTTCCATGGTGTCCTTACAAGGTGCTTTGCCAAATATGTCACATCCTCCTGGCTTATTGCGCACTTCCAGCTTAGGTACCCCGTCACCAGCTTGGATGCCATCCCCCCAGTCATCACCTCATCCATTGGCCATGCCTTCCCAAGCACCAACATATGGAGCTGCGATGCCTTCCCATATACCTACATATGCATCAGCAATGCCTTCCCAGACACCAGCTTATGCAACAGCAATGCCTTCCCATGCACCTACATATGTATCAGCAATGCCTTCTCATGCACCTACGTATGCATCAGCAATGCCTCCAAGTAAAACCTCTTCTTTTGGGTGTGCTTTAAACAGATTTTTTTTTTTTTTTTTTCCCGTCTAATGCTTTACAAATTTACAGGGGCGTATATGGGACCACAAGTACCCAGTAATATCCCACTTTCCAGGTAACTATTCGATTGACAAGTCCAAATGTGTTTGACGTTTCTTAAGGTATCTGCTAATCCTAGGATGACATAAAGCAAATTAATTAGGTGTAATTGCTGGAAGTTTTCTCTGTCTCTCTTTAATGTGTTAGAACTTGTTCTTGGCTTAATCTGTTTTTCTTTCTTTTCTGGGAGGGCAGTGGGGTTGACCTTAAGTTTCTTGGTTTATTGCACAGCAATAAAACAAGCTTACATTGATTTTCCTGATAAAGTTTTAACCTGTTGTTTTCATGGTCAGACTTGGATCTGTTAAGTGGATGGATTGCCAATGGCCACCATAGATCTGATGGGAAGTGTGCCAGCAAAAGGAAAAAAATAAAAATTGCCAGGATAACATTTAACAAAATGTTTACATGATTTGCATTTCTAATTTATAAACTATCCTACCTAAAAGAGATTTAACTTTTATTTTTTTGGATCTGAAGTAGATTGTTTTAATTATTTGTTGGCAGATCAAGGTATATGTGTTGAATTTTTTTATGATCCTTTACAGGCAGCAAGGAGTTGGGGGATTTGGGAGTGAGGTGGCTGGTTTCGGCCTTATGAATCCAGATCAACCGCCTGCAGGTAGATACTCAGCTCCTGCTACCCAACAACCCTTCTCGTCGACTGGGGGGAACCCATTTGGATAATTACAAAGAACAAAATACTTGTAACACTATTTTAGTTTAAGCATCATCTTGTTGCTACCTGTCAAATTGCTGGGCGGAAAGTTTTGGTTCCTTCACTGTAGTTAGATGATCCAACCCAATGAAAAATTTGTCAAGTTCAACCCAGTAGTAAGGGCTAAATGTCCACATTCACCATGGGAAATAGATTGATGATGTCAGAAAGAAGGCATGGAGAGGAAGAGAGTTAATTTAATAGGGGAGCAGAAACCTCCATTGGGGATTAAGGTTATTTTTTTCATGCAGTATGTTGTCTATCTGGTATTTTGATGTTCCATTGAGTGATCTGTGTGCTGCCTGTTGCCCCTAGAAAAATTGTATAATTTCTTATTTTTGTTGTCTTGTATTATTTTGCCAGCTGTTCATTATTGTGGCGAGTTATTTGAGTCTGTGAAAAGTCTATAGTTCAATTGTTACAGTTGAGTACAGTTCGAATGGTAATATTATTGAAGATTGAGGATGAGTTTTCAGATGCCTTTCCATTGTTGAGTTCATTCCTGTTGTATTTCTATAACACTAGTTGTCTAGTTCTCAAAAACTAATTATTTATCCTGCAACTTTGCGAACATATCATGTTATTTATTTGATCATTAATGAAATATTATTTCTTTGGGATATAAAATTTAGAATACAACATTGTGGTGCCACGTAGAATTTTAATCTCTTTATTCCATGTTTGAATTCAATAAAAGCCTATCATATAAATATTTATTTTTAAAGTAATTATATAGGTTCTAAGTTTAAAAATAATGAAAATAATGTATATATGTTATTGAGCTACTATCCCACACCTACCCTGAGGTTTCTGTTTTAGTCCTTCACACCCCAAAGGTACGAAAAATTAAGCCCTGATCTCCTTTCACATTTGGAGAAATACCCAATACCTCCCCTTATTCCGAAAGTTTCATTCGATTTTAAACTTAAAAGTCTATATTATCCTTTCCCATCACTTACCAACTTAAAAAATATTTTTTTATTCCTCCTACCTCATTGTTCTTATAAAAATAGCTTCCATATAATTTATTATTTATTTATGAATTTTATTTTAATTATTTTTGAAGGAAAATACTTCATTTTACCAAAATTCAGTTTTTTTTTTTTTTGTTTTTTTTTTCATTAAATGTTTGTTTAAATGTGTAACCTTCCCTCGGAAAATATAATTGTAAGTTCAAGGTTGATTTTTTGGATTTGGATATTTATTGAGTGAAAGATTTAAGAAATTTGTTGAGTTAGTAAATGATGGAAGGGTAAGACAGACTTATCACTACAGCAAGGGTGTTTTTAATACTTCTAAAACAAAAATGGATTTGTACGATATTAATCAATCTCATGGGGTTAAATAAAATAGACTGAAGTCACTGAACACAAAAAAATCTATCAATTAAGGCCGATGAGGAGAGCTATTAGATAATTCTTGAAATTTGAAGGGAGGTCAGTGCTAATTTTTCATACCTTTGGGGTGTGAGGAAAACTGGAACCTTAGGGCAGGTTTGGGAAATAACCCTATGTTATCAACTTGTTATGTTGATCTAAATGTAGTTGTTTTGCTTGTCAGACCACTGCTTTTCTGTTTTCCGACATTTCCATAAATATTTTTACATCTTTTAAATAATGTTGTCAACGCTTGATAACATGGTAATTGCAACAACATTATTAGGTTTTCTACAGAGAGATTTGTGTAATGCGGAATATTATTGATTGTAAAAATTACATTTGAAATCATTACACTTGACTTAAGTACTTATCTTACTAACTCTACTCAACTAACTATAGTTCTACTCAGCTAATCGTAGTTACAATTAATTCTGTTATATCAGTAAAACCAACTTAACTATGCTTAACTAATCCTTCAAACTGATGTGTTGAGCTAGAAGCTGGACTAGAGTTGATTGAGAATTATATCTTCAATAACCACACCCCCACCCCCCCAAGCAAGTTGGTGAGTGATAAAGGTTAAGCACTTCCAACTTGGACAGAAAATGATGATGTAAATGACTCCCTAAAGCTTTAGTAAGAATATCAGACCGCTGCTCATTACTAGGGACATATTTTGGTTGAATAAGACCAAGTTGAATCTTCTTTTGAATGATATGACAATCAAAGCCAATATGCTCGGTACACTCATGAAACATGGGGTTAGAAGCTATATGTAAGGCTGACTAATTATCACAAAAAGAGGGACTCAAGAACAAATTGGATAACTAAGATCAGAAAATAACCGCACTAACCAAACAATCTCACATTTAGTAGAGGCCATGGCCCTATATTTAGCCTCTGAAGAAGAACTAGACACTGTAACTTGCTTCTTAGACTTCCAAGACACAAGTGAATTCCCCAAGAACACACAAAAGCCAGTGACTGATCTTCTGGTTAACAAACAAGAAGCCCAATTTGAATCGCAGTAAGCATTAAGCTGGATTGTGTTATCAGATGGGAAAAATAACCCCAAACCAGGAGCATGTTTAATGTACTTAACAATTTTCAAGGCAACCTGCATATGAGACACTTTGGAAGCAAACATAAATTGACTCAACAAATTAACTTAGTAACTCAAATCTAGACGTGTCATACACAAGTAAAGAAGTTTTCCAATGAGCTGTTGATAAATGGCAGCATCAGGTAATAAGGGATCTTTAGAAATGGCAAACTGTTTGTCATAATCTGATGAGGTAAATTTCTTATGCTGGTCAAGAGGAATAAGAGAAGGTCGAGCTCCAGATAAACCAGTTGTGGAAATAAACTCTAAAGCATATTTTCGTTGACAAATAGTAATACCCTTAACTGACCTTGCTACCTCTAAACCAAGAAAATATCTTAATAGCCCCAAATCTTCAAGCTTGAAATGTGAGTGAAGCAATTGCTTAGTATTAGCTATCAACTCTGAACTGCTACCAGTAATTACTATATCATCCACATAAACTAAAACTGCAACCATTTGATTATCATGCCTCTTAACAAATAAAGAATAATCTGACTTGGACTGAGAGAAACCTCCTTGAACTAAGGTAGAAGTAAGCTTAAAATTCTAGGCCCTTGAAGCCTATTTTAAGACATACAATGATTTTCTAAGCTTGCACACAATGTTTTGTCTAGGTGGCTTATGAAAACATTAAGGCAAGGTCATTTAAATCTCCTCAGTTAAATCTCCTTGCAAGAAGGAATTGTCAACATCAAGATGATATAATGGCCAATCATGTATGGAAGCTAGAGATAAGATAGCTCTCACTGTCACCTTCTTCACAACAGGGGAAAAAGTTTCCTCATAATTAATCCTTACTTGTTGTGTGTAACCTTTGGCTACTAACCTAGCCTTTTACCTCTCTAAGGTTCCATCAGCATTAAATTTTAGTTTGTACACCCACTTACATCTAATTGGATGTTTACCAGGAGGCAGGGAGACCAATGACCAGGTTTGATTATCTTCTAAAGCTTTTATCTCCTTTGACATAGCTTCAACCCATTTAGGATCGTTGGAAGCTTGGTAAAAACTGTCATGTTCAGTTAAAGAAGAGATTTTGCTAAGACAAACATGGTATTTAGGTGAAAGATGGGTATAAGAAATGCAATTTGAAAATGGATAGTTTACTAGATGAGTTTGTGATGAAGAGGTTAGTGTAGGACAATGAAAATCTGTAGTCCAAATGCGTGGTCTGGTGATTCTATTGGACTTTCTTAAAGGCTTAAGAGGGGTTTCTCTTAAGATTTCAGGATCAAGTGGAGGATCTAAACTAGCTGGTGTATCATAGGATTCTATTATAGGTGCTAGACTAGAGGTCACAGCTGGTTCTGTGGTTGGAAGAGAAAACTGTCCAGAATGTGTAAGGAAATCAGATGAATCTGTATCTAAGAAAGAATATGAGGGGGAAACAAACTTATTTGATGTAGACAATTTGAAAGGAAAAACATGCTCATAGAAGACTACATCTCTAGTAACCTGGATAGCATGAGTTTCTAAATTATGCAGTAAATATCTCTTTTTATCTAAAGAATATCCTACAAACACACATGGATTTGATATTGGAGAAAATTTATCTTTAGGAGTAAAGATAGTAGAATAAGCTAAACAACCAAAAACTTTCAAGTGTGCTAGTGAAGGAGACTTGCCAAAAAAAATTTCAAATGGGGAAAGGCCTTTTAACACAGTGGTTGGAAATCTATTGATCAAATAAACAGCTGTTTGAACACAATGACCCCAAAGTAAATGTGGCAAATGTGACTGAAATTTTAAAGCCCTAGCCACTTGTAATATATGCCTATGCTTTCTTTTCACAACACCATTTTGTTGTGGAAAGTAAGCACAAGAACTTTGGTGTTGAATGCCAAACTTTTGCAACAACTCTTTACAATTTTTATTGAAAAATTCTAAGCCATTATCTGCTCTGATGCATTTGGGAGTCATATGATATTGAATAAGGACCATATTCAAGAATTGCTGTAATATTTGGAAAACATCATATTTAAATTGCATTAAAAACAACCATGTAACTCTTGTGCAATCATCCACAATTGTAAAAAAGAACCTAGCATTCCCATAAGTAGGAACCTTATAAGGTCCCCATACATCCGAACGTAAAAGATCAAAAGCATAACTTGAAATATTTTGACTTAATAGAAAACGTATTCGAGTTTGCTTTGCCAAAGGACAGACTGAACAATGAAAAAGATTATCAACTAGCAAAGTTTTGAACATCTGTTTAAAGACAAAATTTGGTACATGACCCAACCTTTGATGCCAAACATGAAAATCAGTACATGAACTAGAAGAACCACATTTAGAACTAAAACTTGAAACTTTATTCACTATTGAATTACTAACATCATTTGTAGAAATCATTTTGGCTAGTTCATAAATGTCAAAATTTCATAGAGTTGACCGTGTAAAAGGCACATAGAAGTATAAGCCTTGACATTGTCTACCAATCATCTTCAACTTGCCATTCCAGAGGCCCTGGATTAAGCAAAAGTCAGAATAGAATGTAACAGCACAATTATTAGATGCAGTGAATTTTGAAACTGAAAACAAATGATATTTGAAATATGGTAAATGCAACACATGATCAAGACTAACTTTCTCATCCAATTTGACAGAACCAGTGTGTCTAATCTTAGTTTTGCTACCATTGGGCAGGCCAACATAAAGGTTTGGGCTAGAATCCATATCGATAGGAGAATCTAAGCTAGACAACCTACTAGTCATGTGATCCATTGCCCCTGAGTCTATTATCCAATTTTCAGTTTCATTATAGTAAGAAAAAAGGGATGTGGCAGTACCTACTACATTGGCTGAGGCTGAAACATTCTCTTTACCAAGTAGTTGAAGAAGCTGCGAATATTGTTCAGCTGAGAGAATTGTTCCAAGCGATTTTTTTGTAGAATCAATAGAAGCAGTAGATGCTTGAACATTGGACTGTCAATGCACTTGATGAGCTGATGATTTGCCCTTGGATCCATTCATCTTCCCTTTAAAATCTGCTGGATACCCATGTATTTTATAACATGTGTCTTGTTTGTGGCCTGACAGATGACATAAATCACATTTTATGTAGGGCTTCTTCCCTTTGTACTTAGATTTTTTTTGTGTATTTTGTGCATATAGAGCAGCCCTTGACAAAATTCTCTGACTTTTATCTTGATTAACAATATAGTAGGCTTGTTTAATTGAAGGCAATGGTGACATCAAGAGTATCTAACTCCTCACCATGGAATAAGTATCATTAAGCCCATTAAGAACTGTAACAACCTCTGTTGATTTAAGTGATCAAAGTATGCTTTAGCTGATACACTGTCTAGTGGTGGTAAACTAATCATAGAACTCAACTCATCCCACAATGCCTTCAACTTGTTATAATAAATTGCTACAAACATAGTACCTTGTGTGAGATTAACAATTTCCCGATGTACTCCATAAATCCTAGTTCCACTCACCTTGTGATACTGCTCCTATAAATCCTGCCACACTTGATGTGCATTGGTAGAATAAACAATTCCATTGAAGATTTCTTTCGAAACCGTGTTGAAGATCCCAAGGGAATTACATCTCTTCCATTGTGAACTTAAAGTTGAATCAGATGGTTTCTTGCATGTACCATCTCAAGTCCCAATTTATACTTGACTTGAAGTGAAATTGTCTTAGCCCTACTCCAGATACTATAATTTTTTGTACCTGTGAGTTGCTCTGTCACCAATACTGAACCAAGTGTATCTGATGAGTGAATGTAGAGTGGCAAGTTTGGTAAGTTTGAACCTGGAAGATTCATCGTCATTTCCCACTAGTATTCTCCATCTTGTGTAATTGCTCTGTAATTCACAAATTTAAGCTCCGAAAGAAACAAAAGAAGATTCAGACTTGTAATCGTCAACTGATTCAAACAAATCAAGCTAATCATTGAGCAAATCGAGCTAATTTTGAGCTAATCACCAACTGAGAGCTAACTTTGAGCTAATCGTCGACTGAATCAAAACAAAATTGATGAACAATTTAAGCTTTTCTTCTTTTATTGATTTGAAGAAAAAAATCCTAATGCTTTGATACCATATTAGATTTTTTACACAGAGATTTGTATAATGCAGAATATTATTGATTGTAAAAATCACATCTGAAATCATTTACACTTGACTTAAGTTAAGTACTCATATTACTAACTCTACTCAACTAACTGTAGTTCTACTCAACTAACCGTAGTTACAATTAATTCTGTTACATCAGTAAAACCAACTTAACTATTCTTAACTAATCCTTCAAACTAATGTGCTGAGCTGGAAGCTGGACTAGAGTTGACTGAGGTGGATTAGAGTTGACTGAAGCTGAGAATTATATCTTCAATAAATATCTCTATTCTTTAGGTTGTTGTAAACTGTAAAGCCTTCATGAGTGTTTGTGTTCACAAACCAAGTACTAGGACGAAAAGAGTGATGCTATAGGTACTAATGGGTGAGTACTAATATGCGTACTAACTAAAGCATAGTACCTGTATTATGTGCATAGTATGGATACTATGCTTTAGTTAGTACGCATATTAGTACTCATCCATTAGTATCCAAAGTATTATTCGGACGAAAAATCCAAAAAAGAACATCTAACAATATCTCATAATATGGAGGAGACACTTGTGTTTGTAGCAACAGTTCCCCAACACAATGCGGCGGTTCGTCTAAATTAATTGGAGTCACCAACCCCTAATTCTAGAACTCCAATCTGATCTGATGCTCCTAGAAATTGCTAAGATTTAGGCACTTCTGCTGGTCAGAATTAAAAAAGAATAATACTCTGGGTACTAATGGATGAGTATTAATATGTGTACTAACTAAAGCATAGTACTTGTACTATGCGCATAGTACGGGTACTATGCTTTAGTTAGTACACATATTAGTACTCATTCATTAGTACCCATAGCATCACTCATTAAAAAATAGTTTAAAATTTCATTCATTAAATTAGAAATACATAGGTGGTCGTGGTTATGACCTATGCGTTTCACATTTCCACTCAAAATCTTTTTGAAGTTTTGTCATTACAAACATCACTGATGGAGATTGGACACAGAAATTTTATTGAATAGACAACTCTTAATTTTTTTTTGTTGCATAAATAATGAGTTAGATTACGAAATAAATAAATTTTCATTATCAATAAAATATTTTCTAAAAGTAAAAATATATGATAAGTCTAAAATAATAAATAAATAAACACTTCATATTAATCATAAGAAAAGAAGGATTTAAACAACATAACATAAAACTGATGATTCCCGTTGTCAATAATAATAAAATGAAATCAAAGGGTTAAAAAAAAAACAGAAAAAAAAAAGAGAGGAATTGATTAATTATAAGTTTATATTTGTGTTGGGTTGTCTTAACATATACCCTTAAGTTCATCAGAAGATAAAAAATTAGTGTATCAATACATTAAAATTTATATTTTTTGGCTTTTTGTAT